AGTACAAATTGAAACGTCGATATCCTTCCCGGTTGGATTAAGGGATTGATTCATCTCACAAATGACTTCCTATCGATAACTGAACATAGTATTTCCTAATTTGTATGCGAAAAATGATGCAGTGCCTAAGAAGGTAATCAGTATGTGTAACTATGTAACATCAATTACATTTATTTATGGTATGTGAATGCGTTTATCAAACTGTTCTTTGATTGGAAAATAAAGTTGGTTTACTTCGTGCAGACATCGATATATTCATTCATCAAAAATCAATGGTATTTGGGTACTGGGTTGGTACACGCCCGTTATGCAAGTAGTTTGATAATGAATAGTTCAGTATTTTTGTTTACGTCATAGCCTTTGATAGCTGCAAAGACCGTGACAATATGATTTGTGATATCAATCTATTGTGTTTTCATGGCTGAATAACAGTCAAAGCCGCGTGGGTTGGTGCGTTAGAGGCTGTAAGCTTGTATGTAGCTCTCGAATTGGGGTCTAAGGTGTATTTCTACGTCAGCAGAGGTTTAACCACTTTGTCATCACGGCTGAACACTTCCATAGTTTCTCTGTAAAGAGCCATAGGGTTGTATATCTCATAGGCATCGTTTGCGTTTGAAGTCGTTTGAAGCCGAAAGACGAGGAAGGATTTGACGAGTGTGGTTTTTTAGAGAGCACCTTAAGGTGTACCTGTATCACGTCAGGACAAGGGAAAGAGTAGCTTTGGATATAGGACGTTCCTATGAGAATATTTATAAAAATAACAATAGTTTGTCTGAAAAAAGTGAATATCTTGAATGTTTAATGTCGTTAAACGATGAAATAAAAAGGTTACGTGTGTGATAAATGTGTTAAAATAGGTACCCGGTAGGATGCGAAAGCTAATGTGGTTTGATTAGCAATGGCGCTTGTAAAATGGCGACTGGCTGGATTGCTCCCCAGGGAGTGGAGAATGTGCATACCTTGTGTGCGGGTAAGCCTGAATCCGATGACCGGGATAATAATATGTTCCGCGCCTAGAAACTTAGTATTAGGCGCATTATAAATGTGAGCTATTATTATTATTATTATAAATGTGATAAATAATATTTTTTTAGTAATCATGCGAATCCCTCTATTTGAAGCAAAAATAAGGAATCAACTCTTGTTATACTAAGAGATCATCGGGGTACTCTTCCCCTCATTGCCAAGATTATTTTGATGCATATCTTGCCGTTGGTGGTTAGTATTTCTTTATCAAAGGAGAATTTGTAATAGTTTGTCTTTTAACAATACCCTTTCTGTACTAGTTTGCTGTATATTATGTCAGTTTCCCCTCTAAACCAGTCAAATTATAGACGTCGGACCAATGTCAATCTTCTTAATACCATTTACACACTTAATTGATTCTAACCACTTTTCGACATTTGGTCGATGTCAGTTAACATAAGCATTGTGATGTCATAAATGTGTTGGATTAATGACGTCGGTCCAACGTACATTTTCTGATCATAATTACCGACCTAAGTGATTCCAAACATTGTTACGACATTGGCGTGATGTCGGTCCAATGTCGGTTTCATGATGTCATAATTTGGTCGGATTAATGACGTCGGCTAGACGTTAATTTTTGACCATTTACTGATATTTTATTCTAACCACTTTCCGACACTTGCACGATATCGGCCCAACGTCAGCTTTGTGATGTCATGATTTTGGCGGTTTAATGACATCAGACCAACATCAATCATCTGACCATTTGCCGACCTACTTGATTCCAACCACTTTTTTACATTGGCGTGATGTCAGCCCAATGTCAGCTTTGTTGTTTCATAAATTGGTCGGATTGTATGACGTCGGTCTAACGTCAATTTTATGAACATTTATCAACCTACTTGAATATAACCGTTTTCTGACATTGGCGTGATTTCGGCCCAACATCAGCTTTTTGATGTCATAAATTGGTCATATATTAATGACGTCGGTCCAACGTCTATTGTCTGACCATTTACGGATAAACGTGATGCTAACCACTTATAACATTGGTCTGATGTCAGCCTGACGTCAGCTAACTAGCTGGGTTAATAATGATAATCTGAATGTATTGTAACGGCGACTTATATTGTTCGACAATATAGGAAGTAAAAGTCCCAAAATATAGCCCCGTTGTATGTTCAAGGTTAGTTGTTAGGGATGGCCGAGATTCGGGGAGAATAAACACTCGAGAGGCAGGAATTACAGTTGAAGAGTTTATTACAGCAAACCCAAACACATTTACAAGGATAAAAGAGAATGTCTTGCGAATCAGAGAGGCAAAATAATGCAGCAGGCGTTAGAACAGGCTAAAAAGATAGACTAACATGACTGGAGACCATTTCTGAACTGGTTGGCTCTCTATCCCATTCGTAAAGTACTCTCGCTTCAAACACTGTGATGACAGGCTTGTCACACTAACTGACACAATTAACTCTCGGCAGCTCACTAGTTTCACTCTTCCCTGACAGATTCTTCGCTCCTAACTGCCTAAGATACGAATGCAGTCTGTCTTATATACCCTTCGAGAGAAATAGAGAAAGACCAGTCATGTAGGTCACAAGTATCGCGCTGCGGAGTATTTAGGGAGAAGGGCGTCATTGAGCACATAAATAGAGAGCTCAAAGTCATATTGAGAGAGAGGATACAAGGACAGGAGAAAGTCAAGACAAGAAGCAAGCTGAAAGGGCTGAAGGACAGTGCAAGGTTGAAATGAGAGTTTCGGGCAAACAAGAGAGAAGGGAAAGAGCGAGAGCTCTGAAAGTCAGGCAAAGTCAAAGTGAGAAGGGACAGAGTGAAAGTTCTGAAAGTCAGGCAAAGTCAAAGTGAGAAGGGACAGAGTGAAAGTTCTGAAAGTGAATGCAAGGTCAAAGTGAGGAGAGAATAGAACTCCGCTGTATGCAAAGCAATTGGGATCGAGCTGGCTGGATTTGTAATAGCGTAATTATAGCAAGACATCCTTAACATATACTAGTACAATAATCATGGATAGTTGTAAAGTAGACTAAAGCATTGAATAAAATATATACATAATATTACATCAAATATCTTAATCAAACTGCGTGACAGTATGTCACACTTAATACGAAATACTGTCTCTATGCACTTTACATATTCTATTAGTTACCCCGGTCATCGATTTCATTCACGCACAATGTGCACCATCTCACTCGATGGGAGTATTCCTTCTTTTAATGGTCACCGTAAGGGCATATGTCAATTGAGACACAAAGGCTTTCTGCATCCTACCAGGTCACCAGAAGGCTCTGCGATTTTTTCACAAACAACACCAAACGGAAATAATTCCGCTAGGTCAACCTCCAGGTCAGCCCTCTGACGCGATGCGGGATCCCGCTTTGTCGGAGTAATATCCAGAACCAGAACCAGAACCATTTCTCTCCTGGGTATGAAGAGGCAAAAATAGATTAATGCCTTGCCAAAGGACATACGTGCCGTGTCGAACCCACGACCTTTAAATTTGAAGTCAAGCGCTTAAACTACTCGACCACGACACCTCTATATATACCTAAGGAAAAATGCTACGTAAAATAATATACATACTGAAATGAAGAGAGGGAAGAGGTGGTCGCTGACGTAGGTAGAGCATCGCTGTCATGCAGATTTTAGTGTATAAATGACGCTAGATCTAGCTTTATACGCTCGAGCCCTCCCCCTCCCTCCCCTCCCAATTTTTTTGAAAAAGTATGCCATAGAAAAATAGAAAGAAAGAATTATTTTTTAAAAAGAATGAAAGAAAAAAAAATGACCTGCCAGTGTCACAAATAAGGTATCAAAAATTATTAAATGCCTAAAAATCCTGAGCTTCCTAAGACTGGCCCCTGGATGCTCATCTGACCGTAAAGAATGCCTAAAACCCCTTAGCTTCCGGGGGCTCCGCCCCTGAACCCTTACCAGGGACCCTAAGGCGGACCCCTATACCCCACGCCATTTAGTGACCTGCCAGTGTCACAAATATGGTATAAAAATATGCTCATCTGACCGTAATTAAATGCCTAATCTAGATTGGTCTAGATCTAATATTAAATTTAGACCACATATCAATATTATACCAAAAAATCGGGCTGAACTGCTGCTTAAATATCATCATTTTGTAAGTAAAGACTTTGACTAGAATCTCATGTCAAAATTATTTTGACTGTCGGGTGGCACCTCGTAACTAAATGTATTGAGCCACTGTCAGAACATTGTGGTGGATCGAGTGTCCAGACAGCTGCACACACAGTTGTAAAACATCATCTAGGTCATTTTGAAATAAGGACAGATAGAGGACACATGCAGAAACATAAAAAGCCTGTCATATGATGCAAACATTTGCTTACTTTTGCACCAACTAATTTGTCAATAACAAATCGATATATGCTGTTTGTATCGGCTTGCATGGTGATGTAGATATACAGTAGGCTTGCGGGTGCACCATGTGAGAGAAAGGGAGGATTGAAATAAATCGATATATGTTTCAAATCAGTGCAATTCATGACCCATTTAATACAAAAGAAGTAAAAAGGATTGAGCGTGCTCTTGTGGTAAGAAAGTTTTATTTCAGCCAATGGTTATCAAGTTCCAACTGTAATCTAGATCTACCATCAAGTTTACAAATATGAATGTGTAAATGATTTTGTGAATCACGTTATTCATTTTACTTTAGACCTGTTTTCTTGTTCACCTTGCTCCAAACATTGCTTTTTTAAAACTTAAATGTAACTTCGTGTTTCGTGAATTTGTCGTAAATTTCAGAATACAAGCCTTTTGGGTCAGAGCAAAAAAGTTGGCAAAGACTAGATCTGAGATTATTTGTTCACCTTGCTCCAAACAGTGCTCTTGAAACTCACATGTAACTTCACATTTCATTAACTTGTATTGAATTTCGGGGGGGAAAAAAGTTGTCATATAGATTCAGATTCGGGTAAAATGACCTTTTTTAAAGTGTTAATGTTAATTTATAATACCTGTTTATATCTCCTGTTATGCAGCACCAGCCTTCTCGGAGGACTTTGGTGTATTAACATTTAACAATTCCCAAACACCAAGTTGGGTACTGACTGCCAGTGATAGCTCGGGTATTGTCACGCTGACATCGTCACCTAGTCCTGGGTCCTACTTTCCTCTAGGCAACACCACTGTGACTGTTACCGCCACCAGTGCCTCGATTACCTCCATAGAAGTATTTACAGTCCAAGTCGTATGTAAGTTATTCACAAGAATCCTTGCTAGAAACGTTTCTTTCACGAGACGCTTCTGTACCGGGCTTCTGTATTTCTCATTTATTAATGTGATGGACATCGAGCGTAAAAAATTAGCAAGACAAATTATTGTGATATGATTGGATTTGATATAATTTGGCAAGTAGATATGTTAAGTTTGAGATATGGGTGTGTAATAAAGGAATAAAGTTTACTTTGACGGGATAAGCCACAAAGATTAACGAGTTGAAGTAGGTCATTTCCGTTGGGTTAAGAACACACACCCTGATTAATGCTTTTTCTCTTTGATTCATGTAATCAATATCCTAGACAAAACTAAATTAGTTACATGAAACTATAGCAAACAAAGAATTGTATGAACAAACTTATTTGACAAAAAAATGACAACTAACAGGGAACTGCGGGAATTGAATACAATATTGAAGCAATCATTTACCGTTTTGACACGTTTTAAAATGATCATTCGAAGATCATGTCAGTGATTCTTCTTCTTTAAAGATTTACTCTGGATTTCATGTTATTTTTAGTCATATATTATTAAGAAATGTGTGTCTCATCAGCTAGAAAAATTAAATGAAAAGTTAGCCTGTTACAAACATGTGTTAATAGAAAAATAGTAGTAGTAAATACTCAATCAGTATTATTTCCTTTCATATCATTAGCTGACGGTTCACCAGAAACGGCAAACTGTCCAGGAGATCAACTACACGAGGTCTCACCGTCTGAAGTACCTCGTGCAGTTACCTGGTCAGTGCCAAGTGCCAGAGGATCAGGGACTATTACAACCACCAGCAACTATAGTCCGGATGACATGTTTAGAGAAGGCACGACCAAAGTCATCTACAAATTCACAGATGATGCTGGCAGGAGCTCCAAATGCTTTTTTTACATCAAAATCACAAGTATGTGCACATCCAGTATTTGTCCTTGTTGATATCCACATGGTCCTCTGAAAAATGTATTCAATTTAGCACATTACATGTTATAAAACAACGAGGAAGAAGAAGCTCAGTATTCGAGATACTTTTGGAACACTATCATGGTACAAATTCAGGGCAGGCCTTTAAATTAGATACTGTTACATAGCCACAACTCTACAAAATTTACCTGCTTTGTTTTTAAGCTAAAATGAAAGAATGAATACATAAATTGATGACTAATAAGTAGATATGAAAATAGATAGATGAATAGATACAAAAATTAATTAATTAAAGAATGAATGACTAAATAAATAAGTAAATAAATAACAAACTAAGATGAAATTTACAGGACGCATGACATGTCTTACCGGACGCATGACAACATTATAGGAATAAGAAGAAAAAAAGAAAAAAAGAAAACGATTAAAAAAATTAAAAAATAGGGGTCTACAAGAATATATATATTTTTTTTAAATCTTAAGAATTATAAAAAAATGTTTTTTAAGAAAAATATTCAAAGAAAGGAAAAATGATTCCCGATATTGCGTGCATCCAGTAAAATTATCCAGGGGCCTACACGGTAATTGACCAATAAGATTGCAGGGATTCTTCTAGTTCTACCCATCATTCATTAACATGTCTTTATCCATCAGTAAATGCCGACGAAATAGCACCAGACGTCGTCTTTTGTCCTGGGAATGTGACAGTTACCAAGCCAGCAGGGACGGTACAGGCCACAGTCACCTGGAACGAGCCAATGTTCTACGATGCTGTAAGTAAAGCTGATCTCGATATACAGCAGTCAAAGCAATCCGGCTCAAACTTTACCGTAGGTTCCACTCAGGTGCTGTACACCGCTATGGATGGAAAATTTAACGCGGCAGACTGCCAGTTTACAGTAACTATAAATGGTGAGTATTATTGTACCCGTACGTTAGTGATGGATATGTAACAAGGCACTACCGATCCAGCTTGCCTATACCTTTAACACAAAGCCATATTTTTGCCATATATTTGATATATTTACCAAGGCAACAGCAATATATTTCATAAAGTGGTATTTACAAATATAAGAAGAGAAAATATTGGTAGGTAAAAGGGGCCAGATGCTAATCGAACCTAAACCTTTACAGCATCGATATTTACCAATAACATAAATACAATAGAAAAAATTAACAATGTCTTACAATATACAAACTGATAATATGTAATATAATTTGTATCGTACAAACTATTTGCATTGAATTTTCATTCATGATTTGTTCAACAGAATTCTCAGTGAAACCTGTTTTTAAACCTTGTTTACCTGAAATTCATAGGTAATCTATTCCAAAATTCAGTGCCCAGAAAACAATGAAAATTACCCTGTGTTCTAAACTGTGGAAGACATAATTGTCCACCAAAATCTTCCCCGTCCCCCTCCCCCCCCCCCCCCCTCTCGTCCCACTGCCTGTTATTTGTGTTCTTATCCCCCCCCCCCCCCTTCTCAGATAGGCACCAGAAAATATGCAAACTTTATATTTTTTATAATAATAGATATAATAGATCGGAGATTTTTCCACCCACCCTTGTAGACTTGTGTACTGAAGGTATCCAATTTTGTATTTCAAGGGGGGGCATAACTAGCATAAGGCAGATGTGCCCCTATCCATATCCACCAGTTACTGACATAGCTACATCTTGTGCAGATTAAGGAGCTTAGTTGTAGAATTGATCCTGAAAGTAAATGAATGGTTTTAAAATCAAGCCTTCGTCCCAGATCTTTAAATACGAACATGTAATCAATTTTGTTCCATTTTTTAATGTAAAAACTTTTCTAAGCAGTCAGTTGAGTTAACTCCTTTGCAAATTTCTATTTCAGTGGTGGAAGACAACGATAAACCTGTGATCGTCGGTTGCCCTCAAAACTTCACTCACTGGGTCACTGCTGGACAGACAACAGCACCCGTTTCATGGGTAGCTCCGGATATTACCGACAATTCTAGCTTCACCGTTCAAGTCTCTCATGAACCAGGCAGCGAGTTTACAGTCGGAATGGACACCGTTGTGTCCTACGTTGCTAAAGATGCTGTCAACAACATGGCAGACTGCACCTTCACCATATCCGTCAGAGGTAAGTTACTCTTGTCATGTTCCCTCTGATAATCACAATTGATCTGTTAACGATCTAAATCCCTTGCAATGTTAGCATGTTGTACTCTAATTTGTTTTAAATTAAACCTCAGCATCTTACAACCCTATTTTCCATCTAAACATTGCTCCATTGGACTCTGTTCAAGTTGAATTATGTCCGAGGTTGTAATTAGTAAAGTGTTCATCGCGTTTGTGCTACAGTGTTAACATCATGCAGATCATAGACTTTCAAAATGTACCCTATATACACTGTAAGCAAGTATTTTATCAAAGCCCAGATCACACCCTGAGCAAGTATTTCTTGCAGGTTTTTCTACCCTAAACAACCCTAAAAGTTATCTGCAGACGATCGTGCATTTTTCCAGTTTATCAATTTAACAGTGTAATCGGCGTGCTGGCTTAACACTCAATAGTTTTTATCTCGTTATCTTGTGTGTATGATTTTGTTATGAAGTATGTACCCTTTTAACGTTAGTGCTGATGTGTGATTTAGTGATTTAAAACAGGGGGTGTTGATTTCTTTTTAATTGTTGTTAGTGCACACCCCCCCCCCCCCCCCTCCCATTGAACGAAATATCGGTCGGCGCGATTTTCACATTTCCGGAGGCAAACAAGAAAGCTCTCTATCCCCCCCCCCCCCCCCCCCCCATTGGAAAATCCCGGATCTGCCATTGATTTAAACTCCATTTTTACCCTAAATGTGATACGTACGTTCCGCCTCCAACAGCAATACACTTTTCATCCGTATTTGCATTTGTTATTTTAGGATTGCATGACTACTGGTACCTTTTATTCATAAATTGTATTATTTGAGATCAAGAGGCACTTAAAATGGCACACTTGTTTTTATTACAATCGTACTATACTAGTTTTGCATTTTGTAGATACCTAGATGAATAGTTGAAGAGTTATCAATCGCATTCATATGTAATCAGTACAAGATATTAGATACTAGTGAACATTATATGGCAAATATGGAGTCATGCTGAGTCCAATCATTTGGGACAAGGGAGTGTGGAAGTATGATTATCAGGTGATCACTAAACGAAGTCATATGACAAATTTCTCCCTTTTTTTTAGAGGATAGTGTTGACCCAGAGCTTCAATGCCCATCCAACATGAGCATTAGAGTGACCCAGGATATGACTACCCAAGTGGTCACCTGGCCGACTCCAAGTGCAACTGACAACTCCGGGAATGTCACTGTCACCTCGAGCCCGAAGTCTGGGACAGCATTCCAGGCATCAGTGTCTGGGCAAAATGACACAGTGACTGTCACGGCTGCCGATGCTTACGGAAATTCTGATACGTGTACCTTCCTCGTAAATGTCCGATGTACGTATGAAAAACACTTTAGGCTTCCTGTTGCAGTCATATCGAAAGCATGCAACTCCCCATGCAACTATCATTAATAATCCATAACTCACTTCAGGGGCCTGTTTCATAAACCTTGTTATTTAAAACAACAGCTAAATTTCTATGACAAATTTGCTCTAAGCCAATCATATGCCACGATTTCAGTAGCTTATAACAGTAGCTTGTAACTTATTGATAACAAGTTTCATGAAACAGGGCCCAGGTACGTTTTCACAAATATGGACCAAGATCTCCCTTTGTGTACCATTTTAAGAAATGCAGCATGTGTATCATGTTTACTAGCTGGCCTTCAAAATGTGAGTTTGAACACTTGATTTTTATCGAATGGTTTAACACGCAAGTCCACTTTAGTATGAAATCATATATTTGTTATTTATTTGTTTGTGGCAGAAGGTTATATTCCTCCTTCATCCTGTTCAACTTGTTAAATATAGGTCGGCCACTTATAAGGGTCACTTCCTTTCTGCCTGCTACCTGCCAATCAACTTTTATATTGTTGTACCAATGTATATACATATATTCTGTTTCTTTATGTAACAATGTTAAGTCTATGAATGTGTTGTACACTGTCGCTCATAAAGGTGGAATATTTTAGTTTTACCCCAATTTATGGAATTATTTTAAAAATTATTTAAAAATAAAGAATCTAGATAATAGTATACATTCTCAGATTTTATTGAATAATAATTTGCCAATGTGTGTTTTGCGGAACTGCTAAAGCATGTGTATGCTACTATGCTAATTAACTAGGGGACTTACGCCCTCAAGTCATAAATGACAGTAATGAGGATTAATGCCCAACAAAAGGGCACTAATATAGCACATCGACACGGTTTTGATCCTGGGGCCTCACAGTTACGAGGCCATTGTTTTGTCACTGAACCATGACTGTACGCAGCGGGGGCTAGGGTAGGAGGCAGTTTCAATAAATAAAAAAAATCACAGAAAATGCAATAAATTTTCAATAATTTATTGCATTTTACCCCGGTCCCCAACATAAAAAAATCTTCTGGACAGCCATGTATTATGGCTCAAGGCATGGGCACACAGAAGATTTTGTTATGTTGGGGACCGGGGTAACATGCAACAAATTATTGAAAATTTATTGCATTTTCTGTTTTTTTTTAATTTTATGGAAACTGCCCCCTACCTTAGCCCCCGCTGCGTACAGTCATGGTTCAGTGACAAAGCAATGGCCTCGTAACTGTGAGGCCCCAGGATCAAAACCGTGTCGATGTGCTATATTAGTGCCCTTTTGTGGGGCATTAATCCTCATTACTGTCATTTATGACTTAAGGGCGTAGGTCCCCTAATTGATAAGCATAGTAGCATACACATGCTTTAGCAGTCACGCAAAACACACATTGGCAAATTATTATTCAATAAAATCTGAGAATGTATACTATTATCTAGATCTATTATTTTTAAATTATTTTTAAAATAATTCCATAATTGGGATAAAAAAAAAAAAATATTCCACCTTTATGAGCGACAGTGTATATGTTTTATAATTGCTTTGGTGAAACAAAATTGAAGTGAATCGAATTTGTGCGATTGAAACCATGAATGTAGTCTCAATTTAAATTGATACCACTTCCCTCTCTGTTCAGATGATGTTCGTCCAGAGCTGTCCTGCCCCGTTGTCAGTCAAGAAACAGTACCTGGTGAAAGCTTTGCCACAGTTACATGGCCAGATGTAGTTATTACTGATGATTATACTAGTGACTCAGCGCTAGTGGTAAGAAAATCATTCCATTTCTATTCTAATCCTTTTCAGCTTCTATGTTTGACCTCACTGGGCCCATGGTGCCCTGTCCCTTTTGAAGTCATTCAAGTTAAAAGGGTGAAGGGTAGGGGATTGTGTTCCCTTCTGAAGTCATTAAAGTTGGAAGGGTGTAAAATTGGGGGGGGGGGGTTATGTGCTTGGACAGTTAACAACTTGATAACAAACAATTTTGGTAATGTTGCCTTTTAAAAAATATGGATTGATTAACACTAACCATAAAGAAACGTCCTTTATAAAATTGTCAAAAAGTTCTGAAATTTCTTCAAATTAATATTAGAAATCAACTGTCCGGAAAGTCTGCAAATATTTATAACCCGTCCTGACACACGGATGGATGAGATACATAATGCCATATTTAGGGAATGCTATTTAAAGATGGTCTGTATTGCTTTTGAGAGAACCCTAATAAGAAATAAAAAGTTTTTAAAAACTTTAGGATATGACCCAAATAATATTGTCCGTTTGGAGCCAGAAGGAAATATTTTTTTTGGAAAATGACTTACTGCCCTAGTGGGTATTACATGTAACCTTTTTACATCTTACATTTAAAAGAAAATTTACATCTAGAAATAATCAGCCTAAGGTTTATGATAATCAAATACATGTAGCAGATTCAGATATCTCCACTTCTTCATCGTCAATGTAATATTTATTCTGCCTTATTTATGTTATGCAGGGCCCCCAAAGTATGACAGGGGGCTACTCTGTTGAAATAAAACCAAATAAACAATTAAATTAATTTAAGTTGCTTTGGGTTTTTTGTTTTCTTATTGCAGAAACAGCAACATACCAGGGAAATATTACTTGAAAGCCAATGTAACGTTTGTTATTATTATTCTTGTACTGCAGATCACCATGTCCCACGGGTCAATGATTGCCAACTTGCAGTACGATGCCGACCCGGTAACCGTCACCATAACAGCGCAAGATGAGCTGGGTAACATAGGGAGCTGCACATTCACTGCTGATGTTGTAGGTGAGTGGGAAGGAATTGGTGGAATCCATAGATGTATTTACGAGATTGGGTTAAGCTTTGCCCCTTTTGACGGCATCTATTTAATTGAATTCAATTAAATTAAATTTAAACTGACTTGAATTGAACTGATATGGATTGAATGGTGATTTGACTTGAATTGAATTGAAATGTATTGAACTGATTTGAATGTAAGTGAATTCTCACTCTTGAAAACCCCTTTTTTATCATTGTTAATCAAGGTTGCTTGTTGTGTATATGATTCAAGTTATAAATGATAATTATAACTATAATCTCTTTATCGTACAATTTGCTGGATTACTGTGTTAGGCTAATGTTGCTGTGATACCTGTTACTTTGTAGATGAAAGGAGTGGAATGGGTAAAATTCATAAACTAGAAATCGCTTGTTTTGATGACAGCTCAAAATCAAACACATGCTAAAGTTGTGAATAATAGCTCTATCCATCCATATTGACATGTGTGATAATGAGGTCCATAATAATAATAATAATAATAATAACGTTTTATTTACCCAGGGTAGCCACTTCGGTTATGAAACTGCTCTTCCAGCGGGCCCTGCATAACATAATATGTTATTACTACCCTTCTCCAAACTAATATGCTGAGCGCCTAGCTAGAAGGCAGAAGGTCCCATTGTTATAAGTCTTTGGTATGACTCGACCGGGGTTCGAACCCACGACCTGCCGTTCATGAGGCGGGCACTCTAACCACTGAGCCACCATGCCCGGTCACTTAAAGACCAATTCAACTCCATTTTTGAAAAAGTATGCAAAAAAACTTAGAAACAATGGCAATCACTACACAAATTGCCTCATTGTATATCATTTGCTTTATATATTTCTATCCATTAATTTCCCGGTTTATCCCTCGAAACTCGATTTATCCATGCCTTTGCCCAGGTTATATGATTTGTTATATATTGCGTGCATGACATTTCACAAAATCTTTTATGAACTTTGAAGAATTTATACTTTTTTCTGAATATTGTATATTCATATTTATTGATTCTTATGTAAATAGTTCATGAAACTTCACATATGTCATGATTTAACTGAAAAGAAATAACACTTTAGTAGTGCATCCACACAAAAACATATTACTATCAATATAATTTTGATGCTGGTGTGATGAAATAAGATTCTTAGGGGGAAAATGGAGATTTATATTATCAATATAAAGAAAAAATGAGTGGATAGTGAGACCATGACGTCACAAAAATATAAGTGAGTTGCCAATTTGTCTTGTAATTGTCAAGGTTGTTCATGTCATTAAAAAGTCATAGGCCTAACCTTCTTATAATTTATTAGATTTTTCTCCAACTTTTTTTGATTGGTATGTCTGATTGTTCTGCTTCTATTGTAAGTAAATTATTTTTGGAGTTGGAATTGGCCTTTAAGAATCAAAAGTCTTTGTTTAATTATCAAAATGTTATTTCATTTATTTCTGCATGGCTTGTTACATTACGTAGTATGATCTAGATGAGACTTAATGGCAGTAGACTTAAATAGGCAATTACAATCACAATACATTTACGGTAATACTGCATGGAGAAAAACGCAGAGGTGTGGTATATATTAGCCTATTAGGCTTGGGACATTTGGTGATTACAAGTGAAGGAAAAGCCTATCTACATGTGCACGAGGGGAGCTTGCATGAAATGAAAAAGAGTTATGTTTAATGATAAAAGCATAGTATTCATACACATGAAAGCAATTGGTAGTCACTTAGAATCAATTCCTTAGCTTTTCTATCAAGTGCTAAGCTCTGTTAGCTTTAACGAATTGGCCCAATTTGATTCAACCTTGTTTTACACAGACACGGAGAAACCAGTGTGGTCAGCGTGTCCCCCGAACGTTAATAAAACGGCCGAATTAGGAACTAACTCCAAAGTTGTAGACTGGGAACTACCTTCTGTTAGTGATAACTCAGGCAAGGATCCCATCAAGACTAACAACCCTCCTGCCTCTCAGCTCTTCTCGGGGGGTATTTGGCCTGTGGTCTATACGGCTACTGATGACTCCGGTAATACTGGAACATGCGAGTTCTACGTCACTGTGATTGGTATATACTTATATTTTGTTCAATTTAAATCTATTAAACTTTTCATTTTTTTTAAAGCAGTCGATGTGCATGATATGATTAAAGTTGTGTGCATGGCAATGCCCGAAGTATGCTCGTGATTTCCGAAATGAGCTAAAGAAGAGAGACTACAATAAATAATAAACAGATAACATTGTAAACAAATAATATTTTTGTATATTCTATTATGCCTCATTGTCTATGTCATGTAAGATAGTTGGAAATTCATGTCAACAGATTTTTGCGATTCGATCTTATATGGATGCTATTTTAGATATTCCTTTCAATCTAGAACATTGATTTTTCCATTTAATATTCTCCATTATTCTAGTCGACGATGATGTGCCTGAATTTACCAACTGTCCGACGAGTCAAGTGAGATTTAACTCGGACGCAAACACCAACTCAGCCGTAGTCGACTGGGGTGATATCACTGCTACAGACAACTCTGGGACCCCCACCATTACATCCAACTATGCCAGGAATCAGCGTCTTGACATCGGATCATACGACTTGGTATACCAAGCTCGAGATATCCATGGCAATGTAGCATTCTGCAGATTCAACGTCTTAGTGATTGGTGAGTAGTTCAGCCATAGCGGTTCAGAGAGTTTTCTGCAGCTCTAAATAATCAGCTTTTCCTCCAAGTGAAAGTGGCAGCAATCTTTGTGTTGTTTTAATTCTTTTATTTTTTGTTTTTAAATGTATAATAAATGAAACCGTGTGAAGGAAAATGACCACAAATCAAAAAGAAATTACAAATTTGTACACGAAAATTAGTGATTTCAAATTTCTCTGTACGGTGCCAATTTAGAGGCTTCAATGATTATTTTCGATTAAATCACCCTCATTAAAAATGATACGATATACTACAACAAAAAGGATTTTTCGTCATTTTTACACATTTTGCACATGTACAATTTGTAATTCAGAACATTCTGGATCAAATGACAAAATCAAATGCTACTGAAAGGTTACAATAAACTGCTCTGGGTTCAAGGGGAAAGTTATAGCACCAGCTTACTTGTCATGGATGAAGAATCCTGCCCAAGAATTTAATGTGTTCCAATAAAGAATGACTGCATGTCTGTTTCTAGTACTTAAGTATAGACACAGGTTCTCCTTTTCTACACTGTATTCCGATGAAATAGAATTTAATAATCAAACAATGACCTGAAACACATGAGTAATTGTTTGGATAACGATTGTTGCTGGCTGCATGGTCGGTCGTATAACGATGCTGACCTTTGATTTCAGTTTTCAAACACCCTGCTCAGATTTACAAAAGGGTGTGTGACCGAGTGTGTATATGGCATGCTCAATATGTAAAGATCTAATCAAATGATTGAGAGTAAAGCATGTAGATACTGCCATCTCTCTTGGAGATACGAATAGTGGGCTTTCCGTACAGTAGCTGGTCTTTAAGTATGGGTTTGTCGAACACTGTTCAAAGAAAACAAAATATTGTGCTTGTTGGATAGATGATCTTTATGTATTGGTAGATCTATAGGTTGCACTGTGTGACATCGCCCCCCCCCTTTCTCTCTCTCTCTCTCTCTCGCTCTTTATCGTTCTCTCTCGATCTCCCTCTATTTCTCTTGTTATCTCTCACTCTATATATTTTTCTCTTTCAGATACTGAGGCCCCAGGATTTGTTGCCTGCCCCGATTCGTTCAGTGTATTCATTCTCGGCTCACAGCCTTCGGTCAGAGTCTCGTGGACGGAACCAACGTTCATGGACAACTCCATACAGGGTACCGTCACAGCAATGCCATCACCCGGCAGTAGTCCACCAGGATCACAATTTGCTCCTGGCGAACATCTCATTGAATACATGGCAATGGATGCCCAAGGAAACACTGCCTCCACCTGCTCATTCACTGTCAATGTCATAGTTCAGACAGGTACTCACTTTCTTTATCTTTTGTCATTAAAATAATTAGGGTCAATATGATAATAACATTAATTATGATAATGTTAGTATGATAAAGATGATAATAGTATGGTAATGATAGTACATTTTCAAAAGTCTAGGGGCTTGATTCCTTCCCCCCCCCCCCCCTATGCTCAGATTTAGGACAAAATGTCATGGAAGCGGAAAAGAATTTTACGCTTGTCTAAGTACCAGTAATCGCAAAAATTGTCGGGTAGGAGAGATGCTTGATTCCCCCTCCCCCAATCATTTGTCAGGGTTAACCTATATTCGAGCCACATGTATTGATCTCAAGTTTTCATTATGATTGTGAATTAACTAGTCATACAGAGTTAAGGCAGTTCAATGGCAATGGCTAAACACAATTACACACAGTGTTGTCAAGTTCATTCTTCTTTTGATATTGGAAATTCTGTGAACAGATGTATAAATCTCTTTATTTCTGTTTCACAGATACCATTGAACTGGATGGTGAACTCCTGCTTGACATCGTGCGTGGAATCAATGGCCAATTCAGCCCTACGATAGCTCGTCTACAAAGCCTGCGGGACGACGTAAGCTGAAGATTTATATCGTTATATTTATTTCAAGATCATAAGATGTGATAGGAATTAGAGGGTAATGACTGGGAGAGCATGGTAAGGTAGTCGTTACTTAGGAGAGAGGAATATACAGGAAACAATTAAACAAATTCTTTTACCATAATTCATGAATGGAATACATTTTTTAAAAGGATGACAATTTAAGAGTGACAGATAATTATCAGAAGAATTAGTTTGAATTAAACAATCATTTAAAACATGTGAGAATGTATAGAATGATACACACTATGTAGCATGATCAAATAATCATCGAGATGAGAGGGATGAATTTGAATGCAATATGTCTAAGAGGACGAAAGTTTTATAGAGTGACAAAAAGTTATCAAAAGCACTAGCATAGATTGGAAAAAGCTCTGTGACATGTTGTGATAGAGAAATGGGAACAGATATAGACAAAAAATTAGACACATTATTGAAACGACAGAAGGAAATAATGAAAAAGAAATATTCGGAAGAAGAGAGTATTCACTGACCTTTCAGAAGTACGAGTAGTTCATTTTCGTTGATCCAAACATCTAAAACCATTTCTTCAATCTCTTTCCCTGCAGCTCGACGATCTCTTTAGAATCTCCTCTAGCTTAGCTCCAAATTTTGTGGGAATAGAAATCCTTGCTTCAAGTTTCGATACGTCCAGTAACTTCAAGATCCAGTTCCGTCTTCATTTTAGTAATCCGTCGTACTACAATGAAGAAGAAATTAAGCAAGCATTTTACTCGGCTCTTACTGACAATCTTAATTTTGCCACCACCAATACGATTGTACCTGAGTCATTCGATTTAGGTAAGTTTATTTCTGTATTTAAATTTATGTAGGTACATTTACTATTATAGCTTTTTCATGTTATTTATCATTAAAGTATTTAAAGGAAAATGCAAAAATATTTGCAGAGGTTGCTTTGCTACCTAAATAAGAAGCTGGTTGTTTGAATATAGGCAATTACAAAGTAAGCAGAGATAGGGGAGCTGTATACCCCCTCCCCCAACACACCCCCACCCCTCCACCTTGTATACCTGATAATGTATCATCTATCCTCAATTACTCAATACTTGGATAAGCCTTCAAGATGATTGGCCTGTCGCATAAAGTTTACTTACAGGTATTATGGGGTCTTTTATAATGCGATGGTAAATGCTCATTGTACTACTGGAATGACATAAACAATTCAAATAACTATCAAACCAATAAACCAAGCGAGTATCATAAGGTAGAAGATATTTTCTTTTAATGTGGTCGCTTGTTTCCTTTTAACTGCAGGAATCCCTAAGTTTAAGTAATTGGGGAAGAGAGCGTTTTTAGGTTCTTTTGCCACATGGTAATTCGAAAGTGAAATTAGGTGATATTCGAACTTCCTCTAGCACACATTAAATGCTCTTCTAACTACTTATGCATTATGGGGATTCGACTGACGCTCAACTGTCTTATTAGAAGGGTAATCGCTTTTTAAATATGTGGGTTTCAATGTTTAAAAATACTTAAAAGTGTATTACGCTTTTCTTAGGACAAGTGGAAGGCCGTGCACATAGGGTAGGATCCAGGATTTTTTTGCAAAAGAGGGGGCGCAGCATTCCTGAATTGTGCTGACAAGCACACAAAAAAGTATGGTCTTCACCGAAAAAAAAGGGAAGAAGGTACACACATGTGTTACTTGTTTACTTAAGGTATTCCACAGGGTTTTAGGGGGTAGAGGCAGTTTTTGATCTATGTAAACAAAAGAGTTTTTATCATTTTCAAAGATGAATTGAGATTCAGTACATCAACATTTTATAATCGAGGCTGGATCAAAATTAAAATTGCCAGTGTCTGACTGATATCCCCTTTCTAAGTTGCGTTGATGATCTGCTTCAAGTTCTCGAATTAGGGTAGATTTCCATAAACCATGCAGTAATCATGGGACTGTTAAAGGGAAGTTACAACCTTGAAAGCAAACGTCTCAGAGAGTACCTCAAAATCAGAGAAGTAGACTGGTAAAAGTTTGAATGAAATCCGAAGAAATATGAGCTAATTATGAATTATTTTAAAGATATAAGCACTATATGTATAAGCTCTTTAAAAAAAACAATTCACTGCAGCACCCTGAATGTGAACACGCCTTATAGGCTTGTTGAGTGACGTCATTTCATTTTACTTCATGATTTGTTTTAGGTGTAAGGGAATTCCGCGGCCAGATTACCCTGAGGCGAATTGTATCTTCACCAACAACTGAGGTGGACTTTGCTACATGTTGCGGAGATCCAACAAGTACTCAATATCTTGCTTTGGAAGCAAGAATTCATGTAAACGTAAGTTCTACCTTCAATAAGTTTTAAATTATTTTAATATTATACTGTACAATCGCAAACAACAGCCATTCAGGTATCAACAAGGTCGTGTGGAAAGCTGATCACACCAGCAGTGCTTGTAAGGAGAGTCCCAAAAAGGCCAATCAAGTTGGTTTGCTGCTGCTCAAATGATGTTATGTATCACTATCAAATCTGTTGGGGACAAAAATAGGTAAACATTTCTCATGAAACCTGTGGAGCACGCAATGTAATAGTGTGGAAATATACACTTACCTGAGAAAAGGGCAACGTTACATGACACAACAGATCAGCTAGATATAAAAATAAGGCCTGACTCTACCAGAAGAAAAATAACAAATAAAATAATCAAAAAAAATAAACAGCACCCAGTGTTAAAGCACTGTATGTGTACATATACTGGAGAGTTGACTAGAAACAACATATATTTTGAAAGGATAATGGTAAAAAGCATATATCTTTTCTATTGAAAACATTTTAAAACATATTTAAGAACATTTTATTATTCTTAAACCATTATTTATATACATATCTACCCTAATCATTTTGAGGTTCACTAAAATAATTATGAAATGTTGTAAACTTTATCTTAAATTAATTTATTTTATAATGTGTAATAATTTGATTGTAGCATAGTGTTATTCAAATATTTATGTTTCAGAATCTACAGTTTCTTTTTACTTTGTCGTAATTTTCGTTGTAATCACACTGAAGAATTAGGCTGATGTGGACATTGTTGAGTTGCATTTGACAGATCATCTTAACTGGCCTTGTGTTAGGTCTATCCTTGAACAGGAAGATGTTATTTGAATCGAAGGGTTCAAATAAGTTACAGACGTATGCCCGTTTTCTACTACAATCCAAACCCGACGCTGGGTTTAGGCTATTGTTCAAAATCAGGTTTGACAAAGGAAGTTAGTGTGAGGTCTAAGTTTTCCTCTTGTAAAACACGATTTTCGACCGAGGGTCAGGTTTAAGTGAAATAGTAGATTTTGGTCCTTTCATGAATTTGTTTTGTAATCATGTCTGTGTGTTCACAATTCTTTTCATAGCTGTGGTCAACCTTTAGGGGCTTGGGGAACTTCAGGATGGTGAAGTCACTTCGGTTTAAGTCCGGCAGCGTCGTTGTACCCTTCACAGTAACACTAAGTGATGATTCAACGGCAACCACCCAACAGGCTGATACTTTCTTTGCCAATGCCGTTGATGGGTCTTCCCTGGAGTGGATGCCGGGTGGAGTGTCATCAGAGCTTTTCCTTGTAACCCTTTCACCACCCAATGTACTTCCAATCATAGGTTAGATGATAGTGGTTGACTACTATGTCCCTTTAATATTATATATACTGAAAGGTCCATGAGGGTATTCTCATTTTCTGTATAGCCTGGTCGATTTAAATATCGAGAGAGCAGAATATCTTTGTATCTTTTGTTTTTTGTACATCTACTATATTTACTATTTGTCGTGTATTTAAAAATTTACATGCTTTTTCACCTCTCTCTCTACCCAAAAATGTAAAATGTGTGATATTATTTCTCCTCTATAACCTGGTATATCTTAATTAGTGTATCTCTCTCCACTTCTCTACAGTTCTCCATATTTCGTAATCAATCGCTAATGAACTGTCTCATTTCTCTTGTAATCAATGTAAACTGTAATCACTCTCCTTCTCTTCTTTTTCCCCTCAGAGGTTTGCCCTTCTTCATTTGAGTGTTTATCTAATGGAGGAACATGTACTGTCTTGAATCATATTGAAGTCTATTACTACGAATGCAGGTATAATTGTTAAACCCATAACAGTTTTGTGTGCGTTTAAAGGGGGAATCCACCCGTACATTAAGTTGGTTTTGATAGAAGCCAGTTTAGGAAAAGTCAAAATAATACAAAAAAAGTTTGAATTGTTAAATTGTTGCAGTCAATCAATCGAAAATTGGCAACACTGTGGTGTATCTTACAAGCTCCCTTCCCATTTGCTCTGTACTAACAAAATAATTCAAATTATTTTTTCAAGACATAAATGCACCCTAAATATGTTTTCATTAATCCCCTGTATGGAAACAAATCTATTCCGTCAACAATAGCAAAGAAATTTTAAAAATGTATGAAATGTTATTTAAATTACTTTTTGCGTTCCAAGAATACAGCCATTTTTGCAGATCTGGTAAGCATTCGTAAGAAATGAAAACGTGATAGAACTTTGCTTTAAGTGAATGCCAAGACGAAATGTATTGGGGGCAGTATAGAAAATGTAGCTGCGAGCAACAATTGCTCTTTTACATACTGATGCATATGTGGCTATATAGATCCACAGTTTAAAACTAACTTCATTTGTGCTCATTTTATTGCGCCTGATTTGGTTGCTTCATGTCAATGTATTTTTTTTCCTTTCTTTCTTTTTTCGAGTGCAATATTGTTCAACATGGATAATAATACAAATATTTTTTTAAATTCTGTGTTTCATTTTGATGCAGCTGTCCTTCTGGTAGATCAGGAGATAATTGTGAAAATACAGGCAGTAAGTTCTCATTACAAAATAAACTCTTTAAACTTACCTATAACTTTCCTGAATAATCATGTAATACTGTATTAGCCAATGTTTTGCGTAAAGATATTTGCAGATTAAGGGTTCAAGGACAAATGTGTGAGTTATTAGATTTATGTAAAGCCACAACCTGCAACCACAACCAATGATATGCTTTTCAATATTATCAATCTATTTCCGTGGATCGTTACTAAGTATTATAATCATCATAATATCAGAATTATTTTGGGAGAAATGAATAAAACATAATCTGTTGAAGTGCCCCATGACGATCATTGTGGTCTCAAACTACGCCACATGACCCGGTGATGGCTCATTGTTAAGTGTATAGACTTCATGTGTGACATGCAACAGGAGTTATTGCAGTGAATTTTAACCTGCGACATGTAATTTAATGGAAATATTTTGTTGTGTTGTTACATTTGCGATCATTGGGTGATTCGCGAAATTTGCAAAAATACCCCACCCCTCCCCGTTTAAAGTATTATGCATGACTTAAGGCTTAATGAAAGGGAATATGGTACAAGCTTTATATAAAGGTTTTTGAATATTGTTTCAAGCTTGCCTCATTCAATATCCTATAAAGGAAATTGTATTAGCAAGATCATCACAATACAAGTAATTTCACATTTTAATGAATACAAACATTTAGAATCTCTAATTCGACTATGAAATTGATTAATTTTTGTCATCTTTTCTTTCCATTTGAAGTTAATCTGAGCACAGGGGCGATCATAGGAATCGCAGTGGGCGTGGCCACTTTCTTCCTTCTCTTACTCTTCATCTGCTGCTGTCTTTACTTTTGTGGAACAAGAAGGTACCAGGATCCTGTGTATGGTCAGAAACCAGCTCCGCTCATGCTCATGCCAAGAGTAAGTATTCAGTAGTAGTAGTAGTAGTAGCAATAGTAATGGAAATGGTAAAGGTAATAGTAATGGAAAAAGTAATGGTAATATTAACATGTTAGTTACATTAGTTGTAGAAGTAGTAGTAGTAATAGTAGTAGTAGTAGTGGTGGTGGTAGTAGTAGTAATAATAATATATTTGATATTGATAATGATGATGAAAATAACAATATTAATTACAATAATAATTGAAGTAATAAGTACAATATTGATTTTGATAATGATGATGATAATGATGAAAATAATGACAATGGTGACAATTATACATGTAATTAATAACAATTATGATTATGATAATAATAATAATACGAATGATACTAAAAGTGATTTTGTTAATGATAATAATGATGATAAATGGTTATTTTAACTCTTTTACTTGCCCATCAAATGATATGACCAGCTTACTTCAAGACATGATAGTTATACTAGTTACACTGTGTTTTCCATGTGTACAATACTTAGGGAATTAGTCATGTAGCCGTAGCCCCTTCCCTAACTTCCAGGCCATCCCCCTCCCCCCGCCCCATTTCTTCATTAATTCAGAACTACATATATATATGTACATTTGTCTAAACTTTTGTAAAATACAGTAACATTTAAATGATAACAAAATAATCACAAAAGCACATTCATTTCCATTTAGGACGACTACTATTATCGTCGACCCCCCATCATGGATCGACGTGGCCCGATCATCACTGAGATGGAAGAGGGGCTCGAAGGTCCTTATTTCCATCACGAGAGAGAGGACTACCGTGCCCCAGCCCCTCTTCCGTTGGCCATCGAACCCGCGCCATCCCTTCAAATCCCTCGTCCTGTCACAAATGGTCCCAAATTTCATCACGAGTATGAGGATGCTGTTCCTGCACCTCAACGACGAGAACGCTCCAGGAGGAATCGCTTCCGGGACGTGCTTCCGGTGAGACTCAATAAAACGAATCCAATCTTTACCTGAGTTTAGACATAAAGGCCCTATAAAGAACATGTTAACCCTGTACAATAATTCACCAAACATCAATAGAACCACATAGTAATTATTACTATCGATATTATGAAAGTATCCGTTATGGATAATTTGATGCAAATCAAAGAGAAGAGGGTAGAGCCGATGTACATTTGTACATTGTGTTATGACATGCTTCTACACACTGAAAATGGACTTTAAAATGTGATCGTAAAACTAAACAAAATGTGAAGTCTTGTTCATTCACAGTAATCTTTATTTTGTATGTGTACTGTAGAAATCTTCAGTTTTCCTTCTAAAAGAAATAGTAGCTTTAGGCTTATTTTTCACTTGTGAAAAGTTTTAATAATAAACAACTTTCTCAATTAGATATATCTTAATTTTTTTCTTCACCAACACACAGGATCGTCTTACACGAGGTCGACATCGAGATCATGAGGGACGTCACTACCAGCGAGACTATGTGCCAGAGAGGGTATGTCTGAAGCCTTTACTTGTATATGTCCAAGGGTTATAAAGAAGCTGCGCAGGTCCATAAGCTTTGCACCATGCAAAGACACTCAATGCCGCGCTTACATTGCTTTCAAACTTCTGAAGTGACTGAGAAATGACACTAATAATGAGGTTTTCCCTCAACATATAGAATTTGTCTTTATATCGCGCCATTTCATCAATAGTTTTAAAATCAAGGTGAAATCCACATTAGTCAGCCACAAGAACAAAGATGTACAGTCATTTCCAACTTGTACATACTTGTACACCTACTCCTATACAGGAATATATTGTAAAAGGTCATGTTTTATATTCAATAAATGCCTCAAAAATATGTCTTTTTAATCAACTACTTCTACAGGATATTACGAAACGAAGCGTGTTATGCTTAGTAAGTGCATTTCAATATCCTTTACCAAACAAAAGTAATAGCATGATTGTGTAAAATAACTCTTCGGTTAGTGTGATTTTTAACCCTCCAACATGTACTTTAAAAAAGGTCAGCTTAGAAATTGTTTTAATAATAATTTTTTTTAAAGGTATTTGCAAAAAGGTCTACCAATAGAAACATGATCAAATATGGTCAGAAATTTAAATGTCAATTAAGTAAAATAATAATAATAACTCACATTTATAATGCGCCTAATACTTTGTTTCTTGGCGTAATACATATTATTACCCCGGTTTTGAGATTCAGGCATACCCGCACACAATGTATGCACATTCCATTCTCCCTGGGGAGCATTCCGGCCAGTCGCCATTTCACGATCGCCATTTGCTCATCCAACCACATTAACTTTCGCATCTTACCCATCCTACCAATTTAACACCTGGGTGGAGAGTGACAAATGTAGATTAACGTCTATTTATTAAGGCATATGTATGTAAAGGCTGTCAAGGGGAATTCAGGTGCCCAGAAAAAAAGTAAATGTAGATGTATAGTCTACTGTCTAAAATCGTATTGTGACATCATACATTACGGATAAGAAAAGTCAATACCGCAAATATTCTATGTAGGCTTGGATCTATGAAATCTTCGTTCTACGGAGTTCGTTTTGTATGTTAATCCTTTCATAAAAAACTATTATGCAAAAGTTGATTTTGTTTTTGTCCCTCTTTTATTGCTAGATGGAAGATACGAAACAGCGACTGTTCCGAGAATTCAACTACTAGAATAGACATATTATCAAGAGACCCAGTGTGGAAGGCTCACCGCTGTACTGCTCCTTGGAATACTGTCTTCCCTTCTAAAAATCGTTAAAATGTGTTTGATAATTTTGTTTTCTATTAAGATTAAACACGTGGTCAGATTTGAAACTGTATTAGCAGCAGTACTTTTTTAAACAACATCTAAATGAATGGTAATCGCACAAAACAATGGTCCTTTACTATGCACTATTCACAGAGCTAAATTTTACGAGAGATAAGAGGAATCTAAAGCATATTTCACTAATACAGATAAAAAAAAATTAACTGCAGCAGTTTACTGCATCTTATATGAATGAGGCTTAAAGCCCCACTGTCCTACGTGTAGCTACTTGCTCCCTCTATATAGAAAACTTCCCCAATCGGTGCCTGTTGATCCCCCATGATCCTCTTTTTCTTTTGTTAGTTGAGAGCTGAGTTAATTAAAAAGCCACCTGTTAGTGACCTCGCTGTGTGGTCTAATTCCTTCTGGCCCGGTAGTATTGACGGTCTTTAAGAATGAACGTTACAATTATTATAACATTTTTAAAAGTTACTTTTTGGTATTTCGGATTTTTTCTAATAATTACATCGAAAAGGTCAACGCTTTAACTCTATATAGCTCGGGCTATTTTGAAACTGGACAGCCGGGGGGGGGGGGGCCTAAGATCTCGGCCGTGAAATGGCCGATCGCTGCGAAAATGTGCATGCATGTCATGTGAAGTGTATAAAATACTATGATAATTTCAATTTTCTTTTTAACAATTTACTCATTTGCATAGTTAAGGTAATTTACGAAAATTAAGGTCATAAAATTCAAATTTTTACCAATAAATCATATATTCTTCATATTTAAACATTCGTTTTCACTTCATATATGCTTTAGACTATTTAGAATAATAATACAACAACAACATTTGAAAGACCCCGGTTATTCCTTATGTTATCTATTGTTTCGATAATTTCTTATGTATTTCTTTGTTTTTTAACTCTTGTATTTTATTGTTTTTGTTCTTTTATGTCATTTCGAACTATAATTCAAGAATTTAAACCACAAACAAACACCTAAACCATAATCAAGACCAAATAATTGATCTTTTTGGAAAAATGATATTTCCGTATGCTTTGTACACACATCACAAAAATGAGTGATTTTCGGCCTAACACGCAGACAAAAAGTCACGTGTCTTTGTAAAAGTAGGTCTGATTTTCAAAAAAAATTGTTTTAAAAGATGTGCAAGACTCGAAAAAAAAATTCTTAACATTTCAGTGCAAGATATTTTTGCGCTAAAAAAATATATTGCGAAAAAGTAGAGGGGGTGAATTATAAAGCCACCCCCCCCCCCCCCCCCCCCACTTAAGTAGGGTCAATGCCAACACATTTCAATTGTACGTCCTTTTTATTAAATTGTAGTATGAGAATGCATGCAAAAACTAGCATATATTTTAAGGTTTGGAATTGCATTCTGCTGTATACATAAAGACAATCTATAATTGTGTACTTGCATTCCTTTTTGGGATTTTGTTTTAATATTTTACATGAACAATGTATAATTTCTTATTTTGGTTGTGGGGATTAAATATGTTACATGTACATTGTAAGTAATGAAATCTGTAGTGAGCTGTTATATGGCATTTTACTTGTTTTAGGTAGATGTCATGCTAATCTGCGAAAAAACATTTAACGTTCTGTTTTATAGGAGAGTGCGGTGAAGGGAATGGTAAATTTCTGTTTTATAAAACTTTGATAAAAAAGAGTAATAAAATATCCCCTTTTTAGCCAGAAAACAAGAAAATGTGATTTGAAAACATGTTTTTGTTATAGGCGTCTCAAAGATGCCCGATTAAATATTGGAAATATTGGCATATCAAGGTCCCACCTACAGCTTTTTACCCAACAGCTTTTAATCAACAGTTAATCAAAGTATATCAAAAAAGCAACCGTCACGTTTCAATATCACATATCATTGTAGAATAACATTGTTAGCCCTTATATATTATAGTGTATTGTGTAAAATATGCTTGAAATATCAGTGGATTAGTTGAAAAACATGTATATTTTTACATGAACATAATGTATTGTGCATATTTTACATGTATATGAACATTTTGAACAGTCGTATGTTATTATGTTCGGATACATTTCTGGAAAAGCGGGTTTGATTGTATTGCATGTAATGGGTAAAAAAACAAATATATGATGAGTATATAGTTTGCTGGTGGCTGTTTTATATCTATTTTCTAAAAAGAAATGTAAATTAGTGGTGCTTTTTAGGGTGTCTGCTTTCGATTTTCTGTTGGGGTCTAAACTATACTCAAGAATTCAAGCATAATACAAAGTAGCCGCAGTATGGTGAATACAATTTTGAAATATCTTTACAATACTAGGTTAAAAGCAACCTATGATCCATGTTCTACTAACTTTAAACTCGATGCTGGGTTTAAACTCATTCTAAAGTAAATTTTAACAAATTTAAGGAGGATTGACTGAGGTTTTAGTTTTTGCCTTTTGTACAACATTTTCTACCTGTTCTCAGATATTAGTAAACACATGTTATTTTATACAGTCCCCCTCAGTATTTCTTACCCGAATGTTGACATCACAAGTCAATAAACAAACTTTTGGATACACTTAATAGTTATGCATTTGTGTATTTCGATGTTATTACTTTACACAAATTCTGTAAAGTTACATGTTATGAACAAAAAGGAGAACAAGAGATGTCGAGATGAAGCGAAGGAGGAAATGGAGGGACAGATAGGGAGAGAGAGAGAGAGAGAGAGAGAGAGAGAGAAAGGGAGAGAATGAGAAAAGGGAGAGCTGGAGAGAGAAAGGGGAGAGGTAGTAGATCCAAACTGAAAAAGAGAAGGGGAGTAATGACAGCCGAGGAAGGAAGACAGAGAGAAAGAGAATGAGAAAAGGGAAAGCTGGAAACAATAACTGGAGAGAGAAAGGAGATAGGTAGTAGATCCAAACTGAAAAAGAGAAGGGGAGTAATGACAGCCGAGGAAGGAAGACAGAGAGAAAGAGAATGAGAAAAGGGAGAGCTGGAAACAATAACTGGAGAGAGAAAGGAGAGAGGTAGTAGATCCAAACTGAAAAAAGAAGGGGAGTAATGACAGCCGAGGAAGGAAGACAGGGAGAAAGAGAGAGAGAGAGAATGAGAAAAGGGAGAGCTGGAAACAATAACTGGAGAGAGAAAGGAGAGAAGTAGTAGATCCAAACTGAAAAAGAGAAGGGAAGTAATGACAGCCGAGGAAGGAAGACAGAGAGAAAGAGAGAGAGAGAGAGAGAGAATGAGAAAAGGGAGAGCTGGAAACAATAACTGGAGAGAGAAAGGAGAGAGGTAGTAGATCCAACACTGAAAAAGAGAATGGGAGTAATGACAGCCGAGGAAGGAAGACAGGGAGAAAGAGAGAGAGAGAGAGAGAATGAGAAAAGGGAGAGCTGGAAACACTAACTGGAGAGAGAAAGGAGAGAGGTAGTAGATCCAACACTGAATAAGAGAAGGGGAGTAATGACAGCCGAGGAAGGAAGACAGAGAGAATGAGAAAAGGGGAGAGCTGGAAACAATAACTGGAGAGAGAAAGGAGAGAGGTAGTAGATCCAACACTGAAAAAGAGAAGGGGAGTAATGACAGCCGAGGAAGGAAGACAGAGAGAAAGAGAGAGATAGAGAATGAGAAAAGGAAAAGGAATGACCACTGACATTGAAAAAATAGAGGTTAAGGGATACATTTTATCCCATTAGAGAGAGAGAGAGAGAGAGAGAGAGAATGAGAAAAGGGAGAGCTGGAAACAATAACTGGAGAGAGAGAAAGGAGAGAGGTAGTAGATCCAACACTGAAAAAGAGAAGGGGAGTAATGACAGCCGAGGAAGGAAGACAGAGGGGGAAAGAGAGAGATAGAGAATGAGAAAAGGAAAAGGAATGACCACTGACATTGAAAAAATAGAGGTTAAGGGATACATTTTATCCCATTATATGCATAATAAACGCATTTAATTAAATTATTCATACCCTTGTAAATTTAAAGTATTTTGTGTTTTTCATAACTTGAGTGTAACAGGTGAGCTGATTGAATTAGGGGAAAAAATTAAATTAAATTAAAATTAAATTAAATTAAATTAAGAAAAAAAACTACATGTACAAACTGGATTCAAGATTCAAAATTTCTTTTATTCAATGCTCGCAACCATTACGGTTGAATTGATACTGAATCTACATATTTTTAAAAACATATACAAATTACAAACAGATCCAAGTAAAGTACCCCCAAAATGACAAAAAAAGGTGTACACGAATTGCGAATTTAAAATGACATTAGAAATTCATCTAGAAATTGGAAACCATACGAATTTCAAGTAAATTGAACCCATGAGTTGAAAGTAATTTTAAAAATATATAATCAATGATTCAGGAAATCGTTAATCTAAAGACTAATTCATTCATGACTTCAAATTTTGTTCATCGTTGAATGTGCGTTTAAAATCTCTATTTTACCCTTTAATACAATTTCCTCTCCTACAAACTTTGTTTTTCTCTCTCTCTCTCTCTTTCTTGTTTTACCATATCGATCTCCTCTCTGCTTTCTTCTTCTTTTTAATTTCTCCATTCGATGGGAGGTGGGGGGGGGCATAAGCCCGTAGCTACATACATTTTCATGTATTGTCAACAGCGAAAACTTGTTTACATTAACAATTTTTTTATTAATCTACGCCTATTAAAAAGCCAATTAGAATTTTCTGCTGTGCTACCAAAAAAGCATCATACCAGAAGACCTTTAGGAGGAGGGTAATGGTAGCGCATACAATGGCGATTATACATCTCAAGAAGTGTTTTATAAAAAAATTACGTTTTGTATTATAAACTTCATTGAAAAGGTTTAAAATATATTGGAGGGAACACATCTTCGTGAATGTTACTGGTATGAGGTCTGAGAATGCATGAGCTGATGCTACGGTAGGTCAGTTCTCGATAATGCTAGGATCATAGGATGACCTGACAGAAGACCTTGCGTTAATAGTGTTGCATATCCCTTTTCTTTAGATACCCTGTAACATAATATCTGTGTTGTTTTTAATAATTATACCCCTTCTTTTCGGTTAAAAGAATACTATCAACAAATAAACCTATATATTTTTATCAACAATACTTGGTCAACACGTTAACCTTCTTCTGCGTCAGAGATAATTAGGTTAG